TTCAATATAATTACGTGAAGTTGGAGTCCTCAAATGTTAGGCATCTATTTTGCTGATTATCTCGGTCATTGTTCATCGATGGCATCGGTTTATGAACCTTGTTCGGCGAATCTGCTTACAATATACATCACTTTGACCAATAATGTGGCATGATTTTACGTAGTGCCAAGCCCTGCAATGCCAGTATGCTGAAAGATAGAGCCGACTGCTGACGATGCTGTGACTTAGACGTCGACGGTACTGGATGCACTGCATTTAATTCGACTTCATTATCGACATAAAGACGGATGAGCGTGATACCTCTCGAAGTTTGGCTAGACACTAATAAACTTCACCAATGAATTTCAGACTTCATTGGCAGGTGTTGTTCAATTCTGTTCAACAATCGAATTCTTATACCTGAGAAGTTGGTTGACCACAGACCACAAAAGAAGATAAGAACTTCGAATAGGTCTTCCGAGCTGACTTTAACTTGAAACAATCACATCAGCGGTACGCAATACCGATCTGAGCGTGAATGTCGTCGTCCTCTTTGAGTACAAGTTTCATGCAGTGGTAAAGAAAGTTGAACAACGACCTGTGGTCACGAAACTGCTGACAGTGTGCTTGGAGGACAATCTCATCAAACGTTCTACCACTGGTCTTCTGGGGTGGAATCAGGTTGCAGTATTTATCCACCTCTGCTGCACTCAACTTCTGCAGTTAGAAATTCAATGCATTTCATACATCGTTTGTACTCGCGAAGTCCATTCAGTATAGGTCTTCGTATCTGCAGAACCACGTGTGGAATGTAACGTTTGAATTTGGGTGATACACGGATTCAGAGATGCTGCTAACGATAAAGTAATTAGCTGGAGACGAAATTCGTAGACTAGCAAGCAACTGCATCAATTTCAGTTGGTGCTCTGTCAGTTTCTTCAAATGTGAAAACTTCATTTGAACGTTTTTCATCCGTCCCCAACTCTGATACACATGAGCAATGCTGAAGGTCTTGCAAAATATTAAACACGAACTTTCAATGAACATACAGGTGTTAAGTGGCCATGAAAATGTATCTAGTGAATACTGTCCTTTTACAGTGTGATATTTTACACTCTCTTTACAAGGTTTAAATACACTCTGATTGGATTAATTATCGCGATGACTGAGATAATTCATAATGTGGCGTCTATAGTGACTTATCTACGACACTTGAAGTTAATACACTCATTGACTTACTGTATTGAAATGCGGTGTTTCTAGCTGTCAGTTTCCTCAAGCAGGCTTCAGAGAACAAAGATGCATCTAGTTATGTGATTATTTATTAGCTGAAAGCAGTCAGAAATCCTAATATATATGCAGGAGTCAGAAATCTGACTACTTATTTTTAGTTAATTATTTTCTTTATTACTGCTTGTTTTCACACAGTATTTTCATACAGGTGTAGAATGATTAGCATGTGATATCGGCAGCCCAAATTTAGCAGGCCGACCCTTGGTACCAGGTGTGCGTCGGCCGCAGATCGAACCCCGGATCACGATCATGGTCCGCGGGCATCCTAACCGTTGTGCCACCGACGCAGGTTAGTCATACCGTAAGATTATGCGTGTTGTGCATTCGACGAATAGTGTTTGTCAAATTATAGTCTGTCAGGGTAAATAAGTCACCGTCTGTAGAATCACTAATTTGAATTCAATATTGATCATGATCCATAGGTTATAGGGTCTGTTAAGTGAACTCTCTCCTTTCGAATGTAAGGAGTGTGATATTGTCTGTGAATAAGGATATGATCAGGATAAATCACAAGGTATCTGAAAGATTAATATTCGTTTAAGTTAAGGTTGATTTTAGAAGTTAAACCAAAATGAATTTGTCTACTTGTTTATAATGTTAACCGGAAATAAAATCACCACCGTCATTAACAATATTATGCAAAGAACAACCTGCTAGTGGACACCAATCCTCCACCAAGATCTTGAATGCAACCAAACTAGCCTTTCTAATGTGTTTTCATATTTCTCCTATGAATAATCGTCATTTTATCTAAAATCACTTGTTTTACTGATTGGTTGACTCAATATCACTCGTCAGTTCACGTTCCATGAGTTCGGTTAGTCGAACTTTGTTAGGTAGGGAAACAGAACGACATTGTTTCTACTGACATTGAAGAAATTTATGTTGCTGATAGGTTTATCAAAGTAAAATGAAATGCGAATTTACAAAATCTCACCTTATAAACCGTAAGTTACTTAACGTTGTCAATTGGATAAATTGGTTATTATGGACAACGACGTGCAGATATTTGGTCAAGATAGGAATGTGAATTATGAAAAAAACAGGTGATGAAACTTTTTATCATATGAACATTGATTTTGTCACTTCAAGGGTGGTTGCGTTGCAAAGATGTCAAATTCTGTCTGACTCCGTCAACCCGCTTCAGACAATTTATATTCCAGTTAATATGAATTGCTTTTCATATGGAAAAGTCATTTTGATTATGCAGAAATTACACTGGTGTTTAATACCGACATCCAGACAACTGTGCGTCGGTGGCACAGTGGTTAGAACTCGCCGACCATGAACATGGTCCGAGGTTCGAACCCCCGCCGACGCACACCTGATATCTATGGTCGGCCTACGAAATTTGGGCTACCGATATCCATGCTGAAAATTCCATACTTGTACCAAAAATATGGTGTGGAATCAAGCTGTAAATCAAAAATCAAAAAAGTATATATCCGGTTCAAAATGTTTGGACATGTACTAAATGTTGAAAACAAAAATGGCTTTCATATCATTGAGCTGTGCCAAGACTGTCACTAACTTTATACGGATTCCTGACATTCTAGTTTCACACCATTTTTAAGTGTTGGCTTGTAGGGATTTGGTTGGTTTCAGGATTTCTTCATGGGTTGACATTTGTTAGAGAACCATGGGAAAACCTGCGTGTGGTGCAAACGTTGTATTAACAAGGCACTTAGAGTGCAGCGTCGGGTTCCCTGAGATTCAATTATTCAGAGTATGCTTTGAGACTGATGCAAAACTGGATTTGCTGTGCTTGGATTGGTTTGAATGCATGTTGTTCTCAGAATTCCTTCTCCACAGTGTATGCGATAGAGTTGAAGGGAGAGATTTTACGAGTTTCATTCAACAATTCGAAGCGTGATCCCAACCAGAATCATGATATAGTAAAACCAACGTCCTACCAGTTTTTCAATCAGTAAGACGTATCCCGTATGCCTGTCATTGCCTCCTCCAACTTCTCCATTTCACGCCCACACTGGCCACACACTCGTCGTTTACTATTCACCTTCTACTAGAACGATGAACGTGATTGACTCACTCAGTCCCCCTTCAGCGTACAATCTGACTCATAATCCAGTCCACCACAATAATTTATGTGAGCATACATATAATCTTTATTATTAACGGCTTCCTGCTACTCCTAAGTGTTCAGATTCCGGCGAGCATTCACGTAAATGTTTTGAGTTGTGAACATAGAGAGTAGTGAGAGTGAGACAATGTGGATCAAGTCGATTTCTCGCATAAGTTGTACAGATATCTGTCAACTACATGGACAATGTTCTGACTTAGTGGTGACATACCAGCCTTACTGTACTGACACCTATGCGCCAGTTTTTGATATTCCACTTGAATGAAGCTCCAATTGCTTAAGTCTTATTTCCTGAAATGGAGCATTTTACAAGAAAAAATTCACATTCGTCAAATTCGTAGCCGAAAGACTTCTGAGTAACTCTTACACGGCCCACAACTGCTTTGTGGATCTGATTTCCTCTCGCCTCACTTAAGACCGTAAAATCCCATTGGTTAGTGACCGTTGTAACTAATCAGTGTCATCAGTGTCTCTACGTCATTGAAAGCACGAGACAGTAAAATCTCTCCACGTCAACATTCACACTTTTTTGCTTGTCTTCTTGCATCGCGTTTTTGTTGCTAATAGGGGCTCGCAAATCGACTGCGGAAAAAGTGCGTAAGTACCTATACCAAGTTTATCAACGGTGAAATCAAAATTTGCGACGGGCCATGTCATTATGATGTTCATTCACAATTATAAGAGATTTTGTATTTCACAGTGCATAAAAAAGAAAACGATATTTGCGCTTTTACTGATGTTCACTATTATCAAAGTATTACCAAACTACAATTTTAAAAATTTACGATGAGATATGGCAACTCAATCATCCTTCTTCATTATGATGTAATCCGGTTAACGTTGTGAAGTTAGTCGGTTGATAAAGATGACACGACAAGCGGCACGTCTTTGAATCTGATGAGCGTATGCAATTATACAAAAGCAGCATGCGCTTACATGATGAAAATCAATTATCTTATTTGTGTTGATCATGTCACTTCATGCTAGAAACCAAGGTTGTTGTAATCAGGTAAATTCTGTCTTCAGTGCATCACTCATATTCATCAGACAGTGTGAATTCCATTTCATTTGAAGTCCTTCTCATATAAGAAATACTTTTTCATTTCTGAAGTTCTTCTGGATGATGATATCAATATTGTGAGAGTCAATTTTGTGACCTGATTTTATGGCGTAGTGTGTAGACGACATACAGCTGATGATTTTCCTAGCTTTTCTAGTTCAACCGAATTTCTCGCTGGTCGAACAGATGCTCTAAGGTGTTCATTTTTTCTGATTACCTTGATTTTTCTCTTGCGACGTTTGTGCGATATATATTATCCCATCACATTCCAGGCATTTTATTTTGTACATACACTAAGATAGAGAATCCTTAGGCATAGGGTTTTTTGCATTCAAAAGGCTTCTTTATGGTGTGTGTGCGTGCCTGATCTTTTAAAAAAGACGTTTTAAAAGACTCCTTGGTATCTACGTGCGTGCAGCAAGATTAACAAAAAATCATTTCCCCGTGAGCATCATTCACTATCGAATGGATATGTATATATATATTCAAATAAAGGAGGTAATAAAGTCATTCTAGCTATCCGCTCCCCCACCACACCACAGTAAATGTAACCAAGAACAGCATTGATGAGATTAAGCGGAATTTATTTCAGAAAGTCGACTTCTTAACATGATTACGATCGGAGCATCATGAGATATTCTACTTGACACAGGTAGGCGTTCACTGAATGTTGCCAACATTCAGGAGTTCATTTTCGTATAGTCGGTGACCTAAAGGTACCAAAATGTTGTCGTTTTCAGTATCAAATTTCGGCGGGACATCTACTGAACAAATTTCCTGTAGGCAGTAGAAAATATGAGAAAGAAAATCAATCAGCCTTGGTTTCTAATTGTGCAGAGTTTGTGTGAAATTGATTAACTTCCCGAAAATAATAAATAACTGATCAGAGAAATTCACAATAAAAATACTATATTAATTTGTTAGCTATATATCACACAAATATGCGGTCAGTGAAACAGTATTATTCATTGCTGGATGACTAATTCTTTCGAAAACAATTTACCTATTTTTCATTATCACTTCATCATTTATAATCACACAAACTTTCAAAATACCGTTTCTCAGTTATCTTTATTCAAACATCTTCGCCGAAGGTCACAGTTTACAGTAGGATTTTCCAGATGCCGAAGTGGAGAGGAGTTGAATCACTCCTATTAGACGCATTCCACCGTCTCGGTCGATTCAACAGATAAAGACTCAAACAGTTAGCAGTCCTTTCATCTCCTCCCTGTTATATTAGATTTTCAAACCCTTATCTTATTCTATTACCCCAAAGTATTTTGTTTATTCCTTTACGTTCCCAGTGGAACATAGGGCTTCAAGCCAGAACACGTTTCAGTAGCAGTGGCGTCTATCTCACGGGGTGAGGTTGCTAGTCTCATTCTCAAACCTCTCTCTCTACCATTTTCATTACTGACCTCTAGCCAATTTTTAGGCTAGTGTTTGTCCTCACAGCCGACCTGATGCACCTAACTGGTCACGACTACCTACTAGAAACCCAGGTGCACTCCCATGTGCACCCACCGCTTAATAAATCATCTTTTCATTTGTATTATTCAGTGAGGATGAAGGATACACCTTGAAACACCTCCTTGATCCAAAACCGGCCACCCATCCCATCGTACCCATCAGACCAAAAAGAATCTTACAAAATGGATGGGCAGTTATCTCTTTACACTCTACAACACAACAAAACATTAAGAAAACGAACATTTACTTAATCGAATTTAATTGTTGGATGGTGACTAACAGTGGAATCCAGGATGCGCATTTCGTCATATTTGGGACTCGTCTCCTGGATGTACCTGCATTTCTCAGTGGGTGAGAGGCTAGAACCCAGTGCCCATAGTTTCAGACTCAGAAGCGTTATCCACTAGACCACTTGGGCGATGAGAGCCGCCTGAGACCGAGCACTTCGGCCCAATCAATCCACGGAAAATCAAAAATGGTCAATTAAATTTACTTACTCGAATAGCAGCGTCGATCTGCTTGCACACGCCATCCTTGTAATATACCTGATGACTGAGAAGAATACATTCATCATTTTACTCATCAAACTTGTCCAGAAAAAACATCTCAAAAAAGATTGATTATCCAACGGACAATATTCACATTTTCAATCACCTGCTCTTCATCATCATCATCGTCAGTTTCTACAGTTACATTCATCCACAATACGGAATGAATCAATTGGAGTTATTCACAGGGTGAATTACGTTGTTTAAATAACATCGAATCAATGAGAATAATAATGATATCAATGGATTACAGTACGACAGCATTAACATGACACTTAACACAGAATGAATATCAGACAAATTAGGGACAGTAATAACAATAATCTGAAGCCCTATGTTCCTCTACTAATTAGAGGAAATAATGATAAATAATAACAATAATACAAATTCATGAATTTACAGGCTGCAGAGAGAGAAGGCCGGCAAGGGTAATAGTAGTAGCAAAAGTGGCTGGCTAGTTGGACCTGTTTCGTCTCCACACATAAACAGAGTACCTTTTGTTTTAGGCTATTTGTTCCGAGCATTTTGTTCCTGAATGCTTTTGGCGATTTGTTTAGTAGCTGACATATGATGATGGAGAAGGATTATTCAATATTAGCTGTGTGGCCTGTCGGTTTGGACCAGGCTGTGTAATATCGAACTGTTGATGCTTTTCACTATGGTTCTGTTAAGCTACATCACACTGTTGGGTTTATCCGATTAAACACAAAAGCCAAGTTCTAAGAGCATTGGCCAATATAAATCACAAACGCAGTAGGATTGGTAGATGAGATTAAATGTGACCAGCTACTCCTAATACTTCATCTTTCAATCAAGGAATCACACCGGTCGTTTTGACAGTACAACTTGTAGTTTACCAGAGTTAATATTCCTCTGATTAGATTTTCTTAACTTCTTCGTAATTATTTTGCCAGGTATATCGTCCTTGAATTTCAGTGGTAAAAGTGTGAATGTTTTTTGTTCACCGAGTGTGAATATTCATTTTCTACTTTCTTGGTCGTGTTATTTCTGATGAACTTTTCTGGATAGCCATTTTCAATTAGGGTGTCATATGCTATGCCAAGTTCATCTTCAATTACATTTTTGAGCATATAACTCTGAACCTGTAGCTGAGTCAGGTCCTCACTGAATTTTTTGTACTGGGGAGGAGAGAAGCTGTGAAAACGTGTGTATTGTCCTGTTCACATAATATTCTTGTGTGCAATTTTTTTTCTTTTTTTACAACCATCAGGTTTTTTGTGACGAGGATATCTAGGAAGATAATTCATTCTATTTTGGGATTCCTCTTCACATGTGAAACCACTAGCAGCAGAGTACACTTCAGTGAACTGAGTTTTCACTCTGTTTTTCTCCGAAAAGACCAGTATTCTTAAAGTATGTGGGTGCGCAGATGAAACAAATCTATCTAACCAAGCCTGCTTATACAACGCTGACCGGCCTTCTATGTCTACAGCCTTTAAATTCATGAATTTGTATTATTATTATTATTACTGTTCCTGGATTGTCTAATATTTATTCAGCATGCAGTTTCATGCTGATGCATATGAACACACATAGAGCTGGTGTTCAGTTGAAGTCTATTCACACTATCACTACTGCTAATGATTGATTCGCTGTTATTCTGAACAATGACATTAATATTGTTTATAACACTAATTCTTTCATCCACTGTTATGGATGTACGAATGGATGGATACGTAACTGTAAAGAATCTGATGATGATGATGAAGACAAAGTGTAGGTTATCGAAAGGGTGGGTATCCTTTGTCTGGTAATTTTATTATTATAATCATAATCATTAAGATAATTATTGGCAAATGGTTTTGGGGTGAATGTTTAAAAGCCTAGTTAGAGAAGTCACATAAAACTAATACGAAGCTACACGATGTTAATTAACAAGAGCCTTATAATACATGTCACGAACGGAGCTGAGACCTAGTAGACTATGAGCGAATACTAACTTTATGCGCTGGCTAATTTGTCCTAATTGTATGTCAACAACAAAAACAACAATAATAATAATACCACCAGGCCGCAAAAGATAGAAGATAAGACTGAATGTCGGTAATAGGGCTTCTACTGTCTAGAAACAACAGTCAAAACAGAAGGTTGACAGTGCTTGCGAATTTGTATGTTTAAAATGACCTTGAAAACTACCGATTTCATTGGTGCAATCATGCAACGGCGGATACTATCCTCATGTAAGCCACTCCAACTGTATGCACAAATTGACATGAAGCTCTGCCCTCTTAGCATAGTCAGAAACATTAGGAGAACAGAGGAGAGGATAAAACTTCAATTTTCTGAAGATAACACGTGGAGCATTTGTCTCAAGGAAACAAAGATTACTGCAGTGCCATTACTAGATATCTTATCAAAACGGGTCGTGAGTTGGACATTATGGAATTATTCAAAATCAATAATAGACATAATAGCTCACTTTCCTTCATGTTTACCTACCGAGGTAATCGTTATCAAACACCTGAAACACGATTTATGTGTGTTCAAAAGAAGCAGTTATCACCAGTGTTTCCTCGCCCTGCCATGCCTGGTAACTGGATATCTTCACTATCCCCCACTCTCTATCTGTCACTTGAATACGTTGTCTACAGCTTTAACAGCTTCTTCATTTTATACCCTGTAACACTGCTTGTCCCTTGTTTCTATGGTATGAGGTGAACTCATCACAGAATTACTCATCCATCATCTTATTCATATCATACCTTTCCCTAATTCTTAATCCTTTTGGTTTTATTCTTATCAACCACTTATCGTGGTGAAGGCTCAAGGGAAAATACTATACAAGAGTGATTTCTGAACACTGTTCATTGAGTTTGAAGTGCCTTGTTAACTGCTGCTATGTATATCATATTTGCAAGGATTTTAAGTTGGTTTGGAGGCTGTTAGTAGCAACTGATGACTAGTCCACGAATATTTGTTGGTATCCTCTTGATTCTATCTGCACACAATGTGGAGTTCTCAACATTTCGTTCGATATTCCATGTAATTTTTTCGAATAATATTAAAAACAATCATAAAGATAATAATACAACGATGGATTGATTGTTAATGGCAGCTCTCATTTGGTATTGGTATGATAGTGAATTCATACAAATACGTAAAAAGTCTAATCTTTATTGATAATGGTAATAATGTCAGTAGGCAAGATCGTCAGATTCATTGAAAAGACAAACTCACCATAGCTTACGAATAGGAGATAGCAAATAGAAGAGCCGATTATTTTGCTAACGTCATAGTCATTCAAAGGTTTCACGCCTAACATTGTTTATATCGCATAGAACAAGGGTTGGGCAAACACTGGGTCATTCAGTTTCTATACTCAGTAGAACGAGAAAATCATCTTTTGTACTGACTTATAGTTCCACCAGACGAGATACAAGCGATAAAAGGCGGGAAGACTTGAGAAAATAGGGGCTACTTTGGGTGTTGAATTTCGGTTAATGTGGATTAAGACCATTTCTGGCGTGAGTTATTCAGATGCCTATCAATTAACTAATGTAGTGACAAGCTGAGAGGCTAAGTTGCACACCACCACAATTTTAATGCGCTTCTTCTCAAAATGACATAGTCCTTTTTTATGAAGTAGCCCAGGAAATACTAAGGTGGGGTGTGGTGGGTTGTCGACCACTAAAGTACAGTAGGTATAATACAAGAGTTAACAAATTGTCAAAGTAGAGCGAGTTGAGTGATTCCAGATTGTCTTAGCTTCTTAATGTAGCAGCTCAGATGAGATATTTTCTTGGAGATCGATAAAATAAAGGATGACTAGTCAAGTAAGATCAGAGGATAGAAGTGCACCAACGTAGTTTGTGTTACACGTAGTTTTTACTCCAGTCTCCTCTGTGCTACAAGCATTATATATACTAACCAGTTGTTGAAGATCACGTTAGGGTCTACAGGAAGAGTCAACAGTCTGACATTTTGATGGATCTCACTTAAGATCATTCAGATTACACCACTGGCAGACTAATGATATCCGACAAATATCTATTCAATTTAAAGGAGATTAAACGAGAAATGAACACGCTCAGCAATCAGTGCGTGTGCGTGGAAGTGACACAAACCAAACATCACATGTTAACAGTACCAGGCTAAAGCAATATCAAATATAAATCAATTTTGTCTAGTAGTCACTTACAAGAGACTTTCAGCACGAACGTTTTCGTCACTAACAGAATAAACGAGAACGTACAAAATGATCACGTGGAGTATTGAGTACACTACAAAACGAATTGATTGCATTTTATTCGTAGTATTTAACAAAGTTTTCATTTTTGTGAAACAGAACACGTTCGTCGTGATTAATAATTCAATAATTCAGTCATTCAGATATCTATTCCATAGGACAGCAATAGTCTCAGCACACACCCTAAATCTCACTTGTTCTATGAAGTGTGTGCAAAGTGTCAGCAAACGTGTAGGCTGATAGGTGAGCCAATTCTGTACAAATAGCAAATTAAGGGCAACATATGTGTGCGTGTGTATGTAACTCAAGTGTTTATCATTATTGATTGTTTGTTATCTTAGACGTTTATGTATCGTTTATTTCAATTTGTGTAATGCCTTAGGAGTTACATTAGTGAATGAATTTATCCAGATAAAACGAATCGATTGATGATCCAATAGACTTTAGGACACTGACAGCATGTAACACATTTAAACGGAGAGATAGAGGGGCAGACACACACACATAAATAATCATTATCTTCGCCATATTTATGTACCAAACTATTCAAAAGAACAGAGAGTGTCTAAATTATCATTGTATCTTTCCTCTACAGTATGAAAAGACATTGGTTAAGTGTTTTTTCAAATGCACTCACTGTATATGTACTGCTGACAAAAAATTGAAGAAGAAAGACAACTTTACACTAAAAGAAAAACCCACTGAGATGTATTGGCCATTAAGGAAATGTTAACTAAAACGTTCTACCAATCCAATTCGATCCTATAAAAGAAGGTTTATATATACCTAACGTTCATGGGTGACCAATAAGGTTCGATCGGTAACCAAAGACTCAAGGTGGTAATTCATAGAAATGTTTATACTGCTAAATTTATTTTCATAGAGAACTTTGCTGTCGTGTAAACCCCCACTCTGATATCCGAACGATAGAGTCACATCTCATTTTGTTTATCACTTTACATGTATGTGTGAACACACGTACATTGGCAGGAGGACTCATCGGTCTCCCCCGCCTAGGGCTACACATCATATTACAAAGTGGCTGTGACAACAACAAATTAAATATGCATATAAAACTGATCCCAGATATGTCCGACATCATCTACAGTGAATCACGTTATAGAGGCAGGTCATAAGGCTGATTTCAGGAATGCATTTAAACCCAAATATAAGACAAGGTTTGGCCACAAACTTAAATTTGTTGAAGACTTAGCTGTGAAAATTCCTAAAACTGTCAGTCTTGCGTGTTGAAAAGTTATTTGTAATTACTTGAAACCTGCCTCTGTAATCAAATATGCTTCATAATATTTTCAACCTTTTCTTTGCTATCTCCCTACTCAATGGTTGTGAGCTTCACAGTCTGGCCTGCATTGTAATGATACATGCAACCTCTTGCTTTTTTTAAAACTGTACATAACAAGTTCTTGTGTTGCGCAAGTACACACTGCATTACACGCTTCAAATAAGTTTTCTGCGTCTTCTTATTGTGTTGTCGAAATTCATAAAATAAAAACTACTTGCTTTAGATTCAGGAAAACTGTGAGAAAACCAATAGACTGCAATCTAAATTTAAGAATAATTTCCTGTGGTCAGACCGTAAAATCGTGAAGGATTACTTCAAGTACGTTTAACACGGTTGTAGGATGCCTCTGAGAAGACTCCTTTTTTAAGCTCCTCTCAGCGTGTTTGTTTGTGAGATGCTTTTCAGCCTTTTCGTCTCGATCTGTTGGGTTGTTCAGCTTTTGAAATTTCGTTTCATTTATTGGAAGTGAATTCACTTTGCCACGTAATGCATTGTGTTATTAATGGATGTCACTCCACAATATTCTCATCTCAAATTCCTATTTTCCTTCCTAAGTAAACCATACAACAAACTTTTTAATAATTATCTCTTTTTTCTCCAAGACTGTGCATCATTCTTATGACGTTTGCATTTCATCTACTGATATAATGCATGTTATTTGTCTTTGTCCCGGTTAAATGTAAAATTTTAATATTCTTCTTAGTGGGTGGCTGATGATACTGATATGTTAATTAATAACTGCGATTTTGCTCCAGTGAGTGAAAGTCATTCTAGCCTTGGAGTGGCTGTGAGGATTGTTTAATGTGTGATAATTGTTGCTAGAGTTTTGGTATCACCATGTTGAGAACAGTCAACGTCTTTGTTCGGTCAATCTTGCAGTTGATATTTAGTTTACTAATATTGCCGTGTTGTGCGCTTTTGCTGGAAATTCTTTGATCTGTATTCTCTGGCCCACCTTACAGCATTATCCAGGTAATTCTGAGTTTTAGATGCATTATAACCGTTGAATAGTTCATCAATTTTATTGAAAATAAATCTCCTATTATCGTCGGAATGTTTTTCGAACTGTTCATTACTCAAGAAGGTTTGGGTCAAGAGTACAGTAGGACAGGAATATTGCTTGTCAGATTTCAGATCGAGTCGTTTTGGTTTTCGTCGCTATCATTTCGGTCATTATCAACACAAAACTGCATTTGAAACCAGATACGCTGGAGATTAATTCGAAACAACCAAAAGTATCAAAATGGAAATGGTAGAATTAGTTTACATTATGAAACTCCTCAGCGATAATCCATGTGTATGAAAATATGCACTTAATATCCCATACATACGTTAGCCTTGTTCAACAAAATTATCGACAATATCATCCATGTTTAGTGTTCATAGTGCGCGATGTTTCTTAGTGTTATTACGTTTCAAAAAGAACAATGTTTGTCACAGTTGGCAAGTTATATGTGATGTTTGGAAACTCGCACACACGCATATATATATACACACAAAACCATGTTTATTCATGAAAAATATCGCTAAAGCATTTACAGTATTCTTCATAAGACTGTTCTTGGTTGGATAAACCTACTGGGGCTTTAAAGTTTCAATATCGAAAGTCATTTATTCAGTTAATCAATGAATTAAAGGATGATCCAATAGTCGTGTGTCTGATGTTTCCAATGAAGCTGAATATTTGCCGTTAATAGTTAAAAGATAAATAGACGGATTCATATTAGTCATCGATTGTTATCAGAAACGGTAATTCCAAAAAGTTAGGTGGGTCAAATTGTTCATTGTGAAATTATATATTAACAAATTTCAAGAATTAGAATAACTCTGCTTGAATTGAACCTGCGAGTTTATGTAATGATATTCTGACTAATTTAAATCTGGAAGTAGTCGCTGAGGAGTCAACAATATATAATATATCTGAATTAGACATCACTCATTTGGAATGTCAGTTCATTTTTATACGTCTTTATCCTTTCGAGAGATATACAACTCAGCTATCATGTTTTAGGATGCGAAAGGCGCAGTTATTTAAGCGAAACACCGATACGTTTCTTTAGCGGAAAACAACTTGCATTGACGATGTGAGACTGTTGTTGGTTTTGCTGAGAGGCCCTGATGAATCATTTTTACAGCGGTTACCTTAAATACGCTAAATCACCGTTTGCACTGCCAGTCAGTTTAACGATATCCGCTTTCATCAAACGTATTCAGAGAAGGGTCATTAAAGGGGAAGCTATCTAATTTGATACGTAGGCCAGATTTACACCATCACCGTGTGAATCATTTCGTCGATTTCGTGTATCCGAATTTAGATTTTCACAGGAATTTTATTGGAGGGCAAACAGCCAAGTAGTACGAAGTAAAATGTTATACATGAAGTGAAATATATACGAGAAGCTTTGAAAAAAACAATAATTACCCTAATGAGTTCATCAGGAACTATGTAGGAAAAAGTGTCTCCATGATGTGAAAGTCTACATTGCAAGATGAATTCTGTTTTCTCTCCTGCAGTATTATCATTGCTCTGAATCCATTAGTATATGCTAACTTTTTACTATCTTCATTACTACTGTTGATTTCTAAATGGATCTTAGTACATTTTAAAATACAATTTTGTGGTCAGAGAGTTATTCGCTAATCATATTTTTCTCATTTGTTTGATTTCATTATTTAAATCTTGTGTCATGTTAGTTAAGCTACTATTTGTACTGCTTAAACACTTTGCTGACTTTCAAAGTGTGGGAATTTATTCAAGATTAATAGTTTTCAGTGAGCCTGTTCAGTTCATTTTACAATCCGATAGTCACCTTGATTCCACCCACTGCTAAATTCAGGTGTGATGAAAGCAATGAGTGTGTCCTTCTCATACCCCCAGTATAACTTAGGAGTAGGATCAAATATTTCAAGACTGTCACCTTTCCAAATAACCATTAACATGAACATTCTACCGATATGAATATCAGTTTCCCCTTCACCAATCATTTTGCTTCCTTGTATATTTCATTTTGAAATCTAGATACAGTGGAGGTCAGCCATAATTGCAAATCTAATATCATAAGTTTAACTGTAACTGTATACCCGTATCTGAGTGAGGGAACAATGGTTGGCTCTTTACCAGCTCGCTGTAGAGCACCGTTAGTCTAAACACTATCAAACAATCTTGTCTCTCCAAAGGCAATATAGATATGTTAATTCATGGAAATATGCGAAAAATAATATAAGCCTGAATATTCTGATTTACTCAGCTTTGCTGATAATACTGGAATGTAAACGATGAATTCATTTGGTAGTGCTGTGCTGCTTTAAGTTCATTATTTGATTTCAGACATACGATAGGTCAATCGTCGTCTCATTCAATTAATTGGTAAAATCAGCGATCTTTGAATTGAGGGATAAATCAGACTATCCACTTAAAGGTATTTGCTGATTATGATTTTGCTTATCATGGTGTTGTGTAGCATTCATATAGCTAATTTTATTGTGCTTATGTGTGTAAGGAGTACACAAACAATGCATATATATTTTTATGATTTTGATCACAGTTATTTCATCTGAAGTTTGAAAACACTAAGAAACAAGACGGACTATGACCGATCAAAGTGAATTGATCGCGTCAATTATTTTGTTGAACAAAGTTTAAATACCTATGTGAAATTGTGCGAAAATATTTTCTAGCAGATACATTTGAGAGCTAGTAGTTTCATTGTGTAAGTCGATCACTCCTATTTCCATTTTGGTAATCTTGATTGTTTTAACTTATCCTTGAAATGACTTGAAAAACGTTTATCTGGTGTCGACATTAGCTTCAATTTGATCATGTCCAGCTTTGCTTGTTTGATATACATATTCTACATGAACAGAATAGTTAAGAGTTAAGCAGAAATTCGCAATAGTTATCAAGAATGAGAACTGGGATTAGTGAAATTATGTTATAACTACTCAGTTACTTGTACTATTTTCAACCTGTGTCCACATATAAGATGTTGAATCTTCAGGCACTGACTTAACTTTTAACCTTTTCCTTACTGGAATATAACAACTGAATTAAACTGGGTCAGTTAAGCATAATTGCTTTCAAATTACAAACAGTTAAACTTTTTTGAGATGTTTGCGAACGTAACATATACGTTTAACGCAGTTAGTATCGTTTGCA